TAAGGTCGGCACTGGTTACTATTTGGATGGGAGACCACCAAGGACATCCAGGGTTGCTACACAGAGGCAGGCAAGGGCCAGCTACCATAATTCAGCACTTTCCCCCATTACAAAATAGCTGTTTATCAATCACATTCCTCCCTTTCTCCTAGTGGCTGAGGCTAGCATACACAGTTCTTCTCCCCCCTCCATTTTATCCCCACAGCAATCCAAGGTCTCCTAGCGAGCTTCATGGCTGAAAGTGGATGAACAGTTAAGAACATAAGAACATAAGAGACGCCAATGTTGGATCAGGCCAAAGGCCCATCCAGTCCAACACTCTGTATCACACAGTGGCCAGAAATACCAGGTGCCATCAGGAGGTCCACCAGTGGGGCCAGGACATTAGAAGCCCTCCCACTGTTGACACCCCCCCCAAGCACCAAGAAGACAGAGCATCACTTGCCCCAGAGTCCCTATCTATACCTTGTGGCTAATAGCCACTGATGGACCTCTGCTCCATATCTATATATCTAATAGCGAAAGGCGCCCCCTGCATGCGGATACCTAAATCCGCGCATCGGAGGCACCTGGAGGGGAGGAAGATTTTTGTGCACACTTGGGGCAGTCCCCAGGTGTGCACAAAAATCTAAAAACACGGAAAAAATACTGGGGGATACTTAAATCCCCCCAAAAGTGACAGAGCGTCCCCTGCACATGTGCAGGGAACACTCTGCGAACTCCCTCACCGCCGCCGCTGCTTCGAAGCCGGGGGGTAGCAGCAGCGAGGCGGCGGGGGGAAGGGAAGGGGGAGATCGAGCGGGGGTGGTGGTAGGGGGTGGAGGAGACAGGGAAGGAACCGGCGGGATGGGGGATAACTTACCTCCTCCTGCTGTTTCCTCCTCTGCCTCATGTGTGGAGGTCCCTCCCCCCACGAGTATCGCGGGTCCGCCCCTTGTGCTTATCTAATTCCCTTTTGAAGCCGTCCATGCTTGTAGCCATCTATGCGGAGAAGTTATTGCCAGAAAAAAAGATTCCCTCAATGCCCTCAATGTTTGGACAAACACCCCCATGATTTTGGCAATTACAGATCTCTTACTCTCTATAAACGGCTCCTGCACGGTTGTCCAGACCGGCGGCTAGAGTGTTCCAGTGTCCAGTGGCCTCATCCATCCCACTCCCGACACCAGACAGCCTTGCTCGGGTCTTGCATACTGAAGGCTATGGCTTCCCTCACTGAGTCAATCCGTCTCACGTTGGGTCTCCTTCTCGTTAAAGTTACCGTTTTAGTTTTCAGGCAACCATTTTAGAGCCCGATGCCTTCCCTTTGCACGTTTAGGAGCGGCAGAGAAAAGTTCTAAGCACGGAGCCGAGGACCGGACGCAGAACATCATCATGGTGCTGAAAGATCGCATGAAGATCCGGGAGCGCAATAAACCGGAGATCTTTGAGCTGATCCAGGAGATCTTTGCAGTCTCCAAGGCCATTCACACTCAGCAGATGAAGGCCGTCAAGCAGAGCGTGTTGGACGGCACCTCCAAGTGGTCGGCCAAGATCAGCATCACAGGTACTGGTTTCTGATCGACCTCTGTAAGGCTGCCCTGATATTTCTTCTGAGGCGTTCTCATACAGAACATCCCTTGATTTGGGGAAGAAAAAAGATGGTATTCCTTCTCTTTTCCTCCTGCCTTTTCTCACTTATTTATGTATTTATTGGCGTTATTTATTGTCTGCCTTTCTTACTTGGGGTCAAGGCGGATTACACAGAGTGAGTCAATGCAATTGGTAAGATGGGATGTTCAGTGAACAATGCAAGAGGTAATAGGGTTGTAGATAGGGTTGCCAGACCCCACCGGTGGAGGCGGGGGTCCCCTGCTGCCAGGCCCCACCTCCCCACCACTGATCAGCTGTCTGTCAGGGGGGAAATTACTCCAAAAAAGGGGGAAATCCATCCAATGTGCAGCAACGTGCTTACGTCACTGCCCATGTGACCCGGAAGTGATGCCATCACATCTGGGACATTGGGGCGACGCTCTGGTATTTGGGCAAAAACTCTATGGTAGAAGACAATTTACCATAGAGTTTTTGCCCAAAATCTAGAGCGTCGCCCTTATGTCCCTGACGTGATGACATCACTTCCAGGTCACGTAGGCAGCGACATAGGAACATGATCACTGTATGTTGGATGAGCCTCCCTGCTGCTCCCGGTAAGTCCCCCCTCCCCCCAGGAGAGACCTGGCAACCCTAGTTGTAAAACCAACCAGAAGCCTAAAAACAGAACTGAAGCAGAACATGAGCATTAAGATGTCGCACTGAAGGATGCAAAAATTGCACGGTAGGTTCCTTCTTTCAGCATGCTCTGCTTAAGGAGGCAGTGGTGCGCCCTCTCCTGAAAAAGCCATCTCTCGATCCGGCCACATTGGCCAACTACCGGCCGGTTTCCAACTTGCCCGACCTGGGCACGACAATAGAGAGGGCAGCGGGCTTTCTTGGTGGCAGCTCCACTCTGGTGGAATGAGGTCCCTGACGAGATCAGGGCCCCGCCGGACCTGTTGAAGTTCCGCAGGGCCTGTAAAACGGAGCTCTTCCGCCAGTCCTTTGGAGCCGCCACCACTACCGACATCTGACAGCCTATGACGAGAGAGCCTTGCTCCCCTAGATCCTCCAATTACTGCCCGAACTGATCGCCCAGGATAGCCGAAGAAGACCCAAGAACTGACTGTACGATGAGGAAGCTAAGCACTAGCACTTTATTATATTATTATATTTATATATTATATTTATGGTTGTTTTTATGTAAGCCGCCCTGAGTCGGCCTCGGCCAGGTAAAAGGTAAAGGTAAAGGTTCCCTTGCTCGAAAGCCAGTCGAATCCAACTCTAGGGTTGCGGTGCTCATCTCCGTTTCAAAGCCGAAGAGCCAGCGCTCTTCGAAGACGTTTCCGTGGTCATGTGGCCGGCATGACTAAACACCGAGGCACACGGAACGCTGTTCCCTTCCCACCAAAGTGGTACCTATTTATCTACTTGCAATTTCTTGCTTTCGAACTGCTAGGTTGGCAGGAGCTGGAACTAGAGACGGGAGCTCACTCCGTCATGTGGCACACTCGGGTCTCGAACTGCTGAACTACCGACCTTCCACAGCCTGCAGTTCAGCGTCTTAACCACGCGAATGTGCAAGGGACGGGAAAGAATGTCTAACGAGTGAGACTGTCAGGACACAGCCTTGGGCCTTCTCGACGTTCGGTGCAGTGGCTAGGGGCACGGACTCTGATCTGGGAGAAACGGGTTTGATCCCCCACTCCTCCACTTGCAGCTGCTGGTGCGACCTTGGGTCAGCCACAAGTTCTCTCAGAGCTCTTCCCTCAAGGGCAGTCCTCAAAAGAGCTCTCTGGGACCCACCTGCCTCAGGGTGTCTGTGGTGGGGAGGGGCAGGGAGAGGAGTTTGTAAGCCGCTCTGAGACACCTTCGGGGAGTGAAGGGCGGGGAATAAATCCAATCTCCTCTTTTACCTCACAAGGTGGGAGGGGAAGGGAAAGGAGTTTGTAAGCCGCTCTTGAGACTCCTTCGAGTAGTGAACGGTGGGGTATAAATCCAATCTCCTCTTCTTTTATCTCACAGGGTGTCTGTTGTGGGGAGGGGAAGGGAAAGGAGTTTGTAAGCTGCTCTGAGACTCCCTCAGGTAGTGAAGGGCGGGGTATAAACCCAATCTCTTCTTCTTCTTGTTTTACCTCACAGGATGTCTGTTGTGGGGAGGGGAAGGGAAAGGAGTTTGTGAGCCGCTCTGAGACTCCTTCGGGTAGTGAAGGGCGGGGTATAAACCCAATCTCTTCTTCTTCTTCTTTTACCTCACAGGGTGCCTGTTGTGGGGAGGGGAAGGGAAAGGAGTTTGTAAGCCGCTCTGAGACTCCAAGTGAAGGGCGGGGTATAAATCCAATCTCTTCTTCTTCTTCTTAGTACAGTGCGGCTCTATTCCTTACGTAGAAAAGCCCTCTTGAATCATTTAGTTTTGCGTAGTTTGCGGAAAGCCAGGAGAGTCGGAACCTTCCCAACCATTCCCGTACCTGTGTGTTTCTCCTACAGTTGTTTGTGCGCAAGGCCTGCAGGCGAAGGACAAGACCGGCTCCAGCGATCCGTACGTCACTGTCCAGGTTGGGAAGACCAAAAAGAGGACGAAGACCATCTACGGCAACTTGAACCCGGTCTGGGAGGAGAACTTCCATTTGTAAGTGACCACCCCATCTCTAACATTCCTCGGGGGGGGGGTGCCATCTCTTAGTGGACCAACCCCGATCACCGAAGTGTGGGGCATTGGTTCAGACCGATGCACTGTTGTTGTGATCTAGGTGGAAATGAGGCTTGGCATTGAGGAGCCAGGGAAATAAGGATGTGGCCAAATTGTGCAAGCTTGCTGGTTCCGTTTGAATATTCCTCCTTTTGAATTTATTTCTCAGTTGTGAGAAATGAACATCAAACAACCCTGCTGGGTCTGGACAATGGCACATGTAGTCCAGCATCCTATTACACACAGTGGTCAAACAGATGCCTCCAGAAGGCCTACAAGGAGGAACACAGAGACCAAAACCCACTTCTAGTTATATCAACTAGATGGATCTTTGGTTTCACATTTCACATCGTTTGATGTAGTGGTTAGGAGTGCAGCTGCTGGTGTGACCTTTGGTCAGTTACAAGTTCTTTCAGAGCTGTTCTCTCAAGAGCAGTTCTCAAAAGAGCTCTCCTACCTCACAGGGTGTCTGTGGACAGCTCCAAGAGTGAACTAGATAAACATATGGAGCAGAGGTCCATCAGTCGCTATTAGCCACAAGATATAGACAGGAACTCTCAGTCTGGGGCAAGTGATCCTCTGTATTCTTGGTGTTTGGGTGGGGACAACAGTGGGAGGGCTTCTAGTGTCCTGGCCCCACTGCTGGACCTCCTGATGGCACCTGGTATTTTTGGCCACTGTGTGACACAGAGTGTTGGACTGGATGGGCCATTGGCCTGATCCAACATTGGCTTCTCTTATGTTCTTATGTTCTTACGTGAGGAGGAAAGGGAAAGGAGATTGTAAACCAGTAGTGAAGGCAAGGTATAAATCCAGTCTTTTCCTCCTCCTCCTCCTCTTCCTCCTCCTCCTTCTTTAGAGAAGAAGAAGAGAAGAGATTGGATTTATATCCCACCCTTCACTACCCAAAGGAGTCTCAGAGCAGCTTACAAACTCAGAGCGGCTTACAAACTCAGAGCGGCTTACAAAAAGAGCAGTTTCTGTCAAGAGCTGAGAGAGCTCTTGACAGAAACTGCTCTTTTTCAAGAACAGCCCTTATCAGAACTATGGCTTGCCCATGGTCATCCAGCAGGTGCAAGTGGAGGAGTGGGGAATCAAACCCGGTTCTCCCAGATTAGAGTCCGGGCACTTAACCACTATACCGAACTGGCTCTCTCAAGTGGGACTCTTCTTATGTTTATTGAGCAGGTCTTGTTCCTGAAACCAATCCTTAAAAAAAAAATTTTTTTGCATGTTTCCTCCCATCAGTGAATGCCATAACTCTTCCGACCGAATCAAAGTCCGTGTCTGGGACGAAGATGATGACATCAAGTCCAGGGTGAAGCAGCGCTTCA